CGAGATTTGGTAGGCCCAAGGTTTCTTACTCCTCCTCCACCAGCGGAGCCAGCCAGCCACCACACCCCTCCCACTCCATTCCGGCCAAAACCCTCGCCTCCGGTCGCCGCCATGGCCGCGAGCGTCAAGCAAGTCCTTGGGTGGTTCCCCGGCATCGACGCCATCGCCAGGATTAGGGATGCCTCCCTCTCCGCTGTCCCGGGCTACGCCGGCGAGGACCGCATCAGCGCCCTCCAAGACCACCTCCTCCGCGACATCGTGTCCCGCCTCCCCGTCAAGGACGCCGCCCGCACGGCCGCGCTCGCCTCCCGCTGGCGCCACCTCTGGCGCTCCACGCCGCTCGTCATGTACGACGCCCACCTCCTCCCAGCCGGCGACCCCGCGCGCGTCGCCGCCGTCGCCCGCATCCTCGCCGACCACCCGGGCCCCTTCCGCACCGTCAGCATCACCTGCTGCAATTTCGCGTCGCACGAGCGTGAGCTCGCCGAGTGGCCGCGCCTCCTCGCCGCCAAGGGCGTCCAAGACCTCGTCCTCGTCAACAAGCCCGCCGACGACGAACGCCTCCCCGTCGTCCCCGCCGACATCCTCCGCTGCGCCTCACTCCGGCGCCTCTTCCTGGGATTCTGGAGGTTCCCGGACAACGGCTTCAGCCCACCCGGTGGAGGCGCAGACGGATTTCCACACCTCCGGGAGCTCAGCTTGTTCGGCACCGACGACATGCTCGGCGGCGACCTCGACCGCTTGCTCGCTTCCAGCCCCGTTCTGGACACCCTCGCGCTCGTCCTCAGCCCAACCTGCGAGCGCGTCCACCTCCGCAGCCAAAGCCTCAAGTGCGTGCTCCTCTGGGAGTGCTTCATGAAGGAGGTCCTCGTCATGGACTCCCCGCTCCTGGAGCGGCTCATTCTGTGGAAAACCATTGATGGTGAAGACGACCCGGTGGCTGTGAGGGTCAGCATTGCTGACGCGCCGAAGCTGCGGGTGCTGGGTTACTTGGAGCCGAGAGTTCACCAGCTGCAGATTGGCGAGAATGTCATCAAGGTACTACCTTTCAATGCATCTCACTTTCAGTAATGGCATTCCATATTCCAATCTGTATCCACATTTTAAGATACTACTAGAAGGAGCATGCCCTCTTCATTACGCGATGCACATAGCAAAACATTTCTCTCGGCGTGTCAAGTGATGCGTGAATCTTGTATGTGATCATTGTATCAACGGAATGAAGTATGATCTCTCTTTCTCTCTTGGTGCATTGCGTTGCAGCCTGATACAATGGTGAGCCCAAGCACCGTGTTTCCAAGCGTCAAGACATTGGCCTTGAAGGTGAACTTTGGTGTCTTTGAGGAGGTCAAGATGCTGGCCAGCGTCCTCAGATGCTTTCCCGAAGTTGACAGGCTGCACATCGAGGTGACTTCTTCATACCCTCCTGCACTGCACATTCCTTCAGTCAGCTGTTCGGCATTCATATCATAGATTATCTGTCACCGAGGTGATTAAACTACTGTCCACTTTTACCATTTTGCAGTCTGTCATGGCCGATGAACCCACTGGAACACACCATACTGAGTTCTGGCAAGAGATCCGTCCTATCGAATGTGTGAAGTCGCACGTCAAGAAGGTGGTTATCCATGAATTCCGCGGAAAACAAAGCGAAAACGAATTCCTCGAGTTTGTTAGCAGTAGTGCAGAGAAGCTGCGGTCTTTGCTTGTTGTGATTACCCGAGAAATGTTTGCTTCGGCATGGGATTTCTCAATTTCATTGCCAAATGAGGTGAATGAGGTGATTGTCAAAGCAGGGGCTCTGACGCGTGGAGCATGGGCCTGCGAGGACTGTCAACTGGTGGTGGCGGGTCCTAAAGTGGTGGATGGTTGGAGCTTCCGCAGAGCGTCTGATCCCTCTGTAAAGGACCCTTTCCGCTGATGCACTTGAAGAAGCAGAGCACTCCTTCAGGTACCATGAGCAGCTGCAAGTGTTCATGTTAGCTGAAACTGATGTTTGATTTGACATGTTATGCACTGTGTGTGATCAACATTGATCTGTCTTTGATGCTGATAGAAGTAAAAGACATGCAGTTAGTTACATCTTGAGACTTTATATTGCTTTTACCATCCTAGTATCATTTTTCTTTGTAGTGCTCCTTTTTCTGTTTCATCCAGCACTAGCTAGGCAGCATTCCATGGCTTGCAGATATCATATACGTGCCGACCACCTCTGCCAATTCAACCCAGAGTATACAATGCTCTAGTCAGGTTGATGAATTAGCCCCTGGATCATGCTTAGGTCTGCTGGGCTGCTGGCTGAGTTTTAGTTTTCTTGGTTGCTCCATGGGCTTGTAATACATGCCTTGACTATTTTCTCTAGTGTTTGGCAAGCAAAACTATCATGGATATGTCTGTTCCAGCATATCCTCTGTGATCGGGAGGACTTGATCAGGGCTGGTTAGGGTAGGTACAAATCAAATTGGTTTGATGTGCTGATGATGCTAGTGGCAAGCAAAACTATCATGGATATGTTTGTTCCAGCTTATCCTGTGTGATCGGGAGGACTTGATCAGGGCTGGTTAGGGTAGGTACAAATCAAATTGGTTTGATGTGCTGATGATGCCAGTGATGAGCAATAGCAGCATATATTCGCCTTAGAAAAGAATCTGCAGCAGTACATAACACGTGCCTTGACCTTGAGCTTGAGGGCCATATTCAGAAGTAGAAAACAAGTTGAGGAGATGCCTGTGACGATCATGTTTTCACTCAAGAAATTACACACATCAGTAGTGTTCAAGTTTGAAATTCTACCGATGTTTTAAATAATTCAGTCAATTATTTTTGCCTCAATGATTGCTTCATGCCAACTCAGTGTACGGCCACGTCTTGTAAGCATCCTAATCCTCACCAGTATCTATATATGTGCCTGTCACCATCGTCTGACCCTTATCCAGCAATTTTGCTGCATTTTCCAACCAGTGGATATGCATGCTATTTAGCTTTGCACATATCCATCACTCTCCTGCACCCTCAGCCCTCATTGCACATCCATAAAACCCACCTAGAGACAAACCCAGAAGAAGGGCAGGGAAGATTACATCCATGGCTGGGCTGCAGAGGTCTTCACTGACATTCAGGAGGTCAGGATCATCAGGCATGGTCTGGGGCGAGAGGCTCATGTCGGATGAACATAGCCAGTGGACCTCAGGGGAACCAGAGTTCAGGGAGCTACGGCACTCCCGCAGCGTTGGGTCTGTCGGGGCGCAGCGCAGGCGCAACGATGGCACCGAGCGAGGCAGCCAGGCGTTCCGGACACGGCGCGTAGCCCCGGCCATGGATCCACCGTCGCCCAAGGTTCCTGGCTGCATCTTCTGTGGGATTTTCAGGAAGACAGCACCTTCACAGCCATCTAAGGCCAGAAGGTACCACTAGAGTGATCTGTGTATTCATCGACCATAGTGTGACTGGGTTACCTGGTTCTGGAGCTTGTGAAGTTCAGGTCCATCGAGTATATACATGCTACTGCCTCCGTTCCATATCAAGTGTCACTGATTTAGTACAACACTTGATTCCTCAGCTGCCCACCTCTGTGCTTGTATCTGTAGCTGGTATCCCCAGTTTTATTTTCTGCTTTCTAGTTGTAATTTCCTGGCTGGTTGATGGCTTTGCTAATTCAAAGCCGGGCTCTGTCTCGAGCCTTTGTTATAAAAAAAAAGTACAACACTTGATATGGAATTGAGGGAGTAGTACTCAGTGATATGCTCGTATAGTTGCATGCAGTTTGGATAAGTTTGAGCATATCTGTTTATTAAGGTGTTATGCATATTTTTGCTGATTTCTCTACCACTTGATAGTTTGTGATGCAACTGTTTTCTTGAGTGACCGCCTCGTCTAGCTTGGGGTACATGATAGAAATTGTGCATCTCTGCTGCAGCACATATCTTGTATAAGTCGCTGTACATGAACATGATGTTTTCATTTGGTTCTGTATCTGAATCGTCTAAAGGTGACTATATTTGTAAATGTTGTCCGTGTATTTGTCTTGTTTGGAGGTCACTATATCCGTATGGTGCACATCCATGAGCCAATGTATGAATCGACCTACATTTGCGATGTGAGGTATTTCATGAATTTGATTGGTTCTTATTATGTCTCTTAAAATGTTTTCCTCCCTTCCATATGATTTTTCATCTCATAAAATTCAACTGATTTTTTTTCCTGAACTGTCAGCACTTTTTTTCGGCTGGCAAGCTCTGTGTTGCTTGGGATGGGATTCTAGGTTGAGAATTGTTACCAAAGAGAAGTTGTTGAGAATTTGAGTGACATGAACACTGATTACGTAGGTAAAGTGGGTCTAATTGTTGATTATGAAGGAGGCAAGGCGATGCCTAGACTGCGAGCAGGTTTAGCGGTTCTGGTGGCTTGCCTAAACAGTGATTGCAATGAGCAATCATGATCCATACCTAAGTAGTACAAATCTGGAGGTTATTTCCCAATTTTGTATATTTTGAATGCTGTGTGTACTGAATGCACCCCACCCTCTGATATTGACGCCGTTTCAAATTGTGTGCTCTCCTATTCCAAGTTCAGAAGTTTGTTGTGGATCTTTAGCAGTCTGCTATAGTGCTATTCTTGTGGCTTAGAGATGCAGAAAAAACGTCAGTATTTGCTTAATTCTTTATTATGACAATCTTGCTCTAGTCATGCTGGTGGTTCAAAATATGGTTCGGTTGGCTAGCGGCTTAACTTGGGAAAATCCTGAAAGTCATGCTGGTAATTCTGGGCCCTGGGCAGATTTGACGTCAATTAGTAGAGTATATGTGCCCATTATTGAAGAAGAAGACTGTATGTTGCACTAATAAAGCTTATCCATGAGTGGTATCCCGGTGGACAAGTTGACCTGATGCACTTAACATTTGGTTGGAGTGCTGTGGCTTGCTACGTGTACTCATTTGCTTTTAGCATGCAGCTGTATGGTCATCTCCAGGTTCAAGTTTCTAGTAGTAGTACTGAAACTTCAGATAACCCTAGAATTATGACAGCCTTTTGGTAACGAGGTCATAGATTGAAAAGGAAAAGAGAGGAGATTCTCAGTGTCTTGTCTTAACAGTTGCTGATTTGCAAGCACTTAGCTGGGACGTCCATATATTACTAAATGGAAGAAACAAAATTTGAGCAAAGACTAGATGAACGTGCTATAATTGCTTTGCTTTTGTGTAGGTTCCTGTCACCATCCTTTGACCTTCATGCCACCCCTAGAGCTTTCTGGCACTTACTGTCGTCTACATTCTCAGCTAGCTAGTTGCATGAAAAGACAAGCACTTGCTTTACCTCCACCCATCCCAACTTTTCGTTTGCCTAAGTTTTATGTTCCTAACTGTTTTGATTCACTTGCTAGTACAAAGTGTGTCCATTTAGGTCTCTACTCTACTAGTAGTATAAGAGTTTTCGTCGTGTATGCTAGCACGGGTCTGCATCCGTGGTTTTAGTTTACAGGAGAGGGTAGGTTTGTTATTCAATTTGATGATTTGTCATGATGATTACGCTCTGAAGTGGGTTAAAGTTCAATGATCTTTCTAACATAAGAGAACATATACAAAATGGAAGCATTGCGAATATACAAGTCATTTAAGTATATTTTGCTTTTATTTAGGATTTGATATATTTGAGTAATTTGTGTATACAAGCGGCGACTAGGGTTCCGCCGCGCCGCCAACCCCTCCCTTCCGCATATCCCCTCATCACCACTAGAGGTCAGGCTGCAGGTGGAGATGAGATTAAGTGGGACTAATTAGCCCATCCCACTTAATATTCTTTAGTTTTTTTAGGGGTAAAGCCAACTTTATTAATCAAACTTCACAATCTGTGGGATACAATGTTGGCCATGGGGCTGGCCAAGCCACACATGACGCCCTGGAGTTAAAGACAGAAAAAACTTAGCTAACTTATGAGCTTCCAAATTAATAGCTCGACTCTCAAAAGTAAAGTTACATAAAAGAGGTGATGATCTCAATTTTATCTCTCTAATGATAACCCCATATGGACCCTGGCCGTCCCTAGCAATGTCGCCAACCACTTGTTTACAGCCAGACGCAACAACAAAGTGTTGTACATTCAGATCTTCAGCCAGGGAATGGCCTCGCGACATGCTATCGCCTCAAGTGTCGCAGGATCGCACACTCCCGCAATGGCTAGGATTGAGCTCCCCAGATAAACCCCGTGGCTATCTATGCATATTGTTGCCGCTACACCTCCGCTCTAAAATCTTACCGCCGCATCGACATGGATCTTAGCATAATAAGCTGGGGGTGCCTTCGGCCTTGGTACAGGACCAGTAGCAGAAGTCGTAGCCGCAGATGGTTTCTTCCTAGAGAGAGAAGTCGTTCCCAGATCAGCCATAAAACATAGTATGAACTCCTTTGTCGCCCGAGGCGTTTGGAAGATGGACTCATGGATAGCCTTCCTCTCGACGTCCAGATCGCCCACAACGTGACCGACAGCAATGTAAACTTCTCGTGCGACAACGAGTCCATAAGTCCAAAGAGCCAGCTCTTCGCTCTCGATTCCATTGATGCTACCAAACTGCAGCCCAAGTCCTCATCTACTAATGCCCAAATGCATCGGGAAACCATACACTCGAGCAGGGAGTGACGCCAAGAGTCGGGGGCTCCACAAAGACCGCAGGAGCTAGTCGCCGTCATGTGACGATGAGCCCTAACATCCTCGGTAGGCAGAGATTGTTTTGATAAGCGCCACAGAAATATGCGAACTTTATATGGGACTTCAGTTTTCCATAGATATTTCCAGGCAGCTTCATCAATGTGATTGCTGGATGATGCGGACATACCTTCTAACCATGCCTCTCGCCTTTGCTTGGTAGAAACCAATATGTTATAGGCCGACCGAACTGTAAACTGTCCAGTTCTCTCGTGTGTCCGGCTCTAGAAGTCTTGTATGGCAGCACTACATAACGGGATGCCCATGATAACTTTTGCGTCAAAAGGCAAGAATGTAGCTTCAATCACAGGCATGTTCCACGACGCATTAGTGCTGTCAATAAGTTCAGAAACTGTACTTGGGGGGTTGTTTACTCGACATCCATACGGTCTCATCATCTCCGGTCGGGGAAGCCAGTTGTCATTCCAGATACTTGTGCTCTCTCCATCTCCAATTCGCTTGATCAGTCCCAGTTTCAGAGTGTCTCGACCCTCGACTATAGCCCTCCATATCTGACTCGGATGATTCCCAAGGGAAGCCTCCAGTATAGATGTATGTGGAAAATATACACTCTTCAGAATTCACGCACTTAGGGAGCCGGGGTCCTGTAACAATCTCCACGCCTGCCTGGCCAGCATGGCCAGGTTGAACAACTCGAAGTCTTTGAAGCCCAAGCCTCCCATGCTCTTTGGCTGTGTCATTGCTTCCCATGAGACCTAGTGAGGTTTTCTTTGGCCATTCGTGCTCCCCCACCAGAATTTCCTTATCAGCATATTTAGGTGCTCACATAGACCCCTAGGGAGTTTGAAACATGACATGGGAAAAACTGGCATTGCTTGAGCAACTGATTTGACTAGTACCTCCTTCCCTACTGCTGACAGTGATCTCTCAATCCATCCCTGAATTTTGCTCCACAATCTGTCCTTTAAATACTTGAAGGCCCCATTTTTCGAGCTCCCAATGTCCGACGGGAGGCCAAAATATTTCTCGTTCAGTGTTCCATTTGGAACATTAAAGGTGCCTTTTATTGCATTGCGAGTGCTCTCAGGAACCCCTTTACTAAAAAATATTGAAGATTTGTTATAGTTTATTCGCTGACCTGAAGCTTGACTATAAACCTCCAACAACTGGTCTACCTCGGTAGCACCCTCACTATTGGCCTTGAAGAACAACAGGTTGTCATCAGCGAATAAGAGAAGGTTAACCAGAGGTGCCTGTGGCGCCACCTGAATTCCAGTCAAGTTGGATGACTCACTTTGTGATTTTAAAAGGCATGATAGGCCCTCTGCTGCTAACAAGAACAAGTACCGTGATATCGGGTCAGCTTGTCGGATCCCACGAGATGGGTTGAACTCCTCGAGTTTCTTCCCATTGAACATGACTGAAAATTTTACAGAGGAAACCATGCCCATAACAATATCCACCCACCTCCTGTTGAAACCCAATTTAAGCATGATGGCTTGGAGATAATCCCATTCAACTCGATCATAAGCCTTCATCATATCTAGTTTCAAGGCACATGACTGATTTTTCTTTGCCTTGTTCCTCTTCATGAAATGCAAACACTCATACGCCGTTATGATATTGTCCGTGATCAGTCTCCCTGGAACAAACGCTGACTGTTCTGCTGATATGTTATCTGGGAGTATTTGTTTGAGCCTGTTGGATAAGCTTGGATGCAATCTTGTAAAGCACGTTACATAAACTTATAGGCC